GGCGTCGCTAGTCCTGATCGGTTCGAAGTCCCCGACTGGATTTCTGGTCAAGGCATCATCCAAGTTCTGCTCGTGTGCCTTCTCGATCTCGGACCTCGCAACAGGCGGCGGCGGCGGCGGCGGCGACGGAGGCAGAGGCGCCCATGGACGGAATTGCTGGAGGAGTCGGTGGAGCCGGCGCCGAAAACGGCGGTGGCGCTGGAAGAGTCCCGCGCGTGCTCGCGTCGGGCTCGGCATCTGGCCAGGAGGCCCACTTCGGAGTTAGGCTGAACCTGGCTTTCTTCTTGGCGGACTCGCCCTCAACGCCGGCCGAGCTGGAAGCAGCTGAGGGCGGCGGTGTCGGTGGGGCGAGCTTTGAATGGCTGGTGACGGGCTCCTCGGCCATATGGACTGTCCTCATATAGTCCACAGGCTTGCGACTCTCGTCCCCGCAAAGGCGGTTGTACTACTGCTCTCGCGGCCCTTGCATAAATCCAAGACGTGTCTCATCGTACGCATATCCTGCCCGATGCTCCCATGTGCTTCTGGCGAACCCACAAAGGAACCTGGCAATCGCAGCATCTTTGATGTCCTCGTGGACGTTGTCAGCGCGGGATCGATTCTCCTCGCGCTGAGCTGGCGCAGGATCTCGAGCTGGCATGCTATTGGCAGCTGGGCCAGAAACCTCGGCAGAGGGCCCTCTCGGGTCCGCGACGTCTGGTCAGGGGCGAACCTGCTCCTCCACAGCGTGTTTGTAGCGTTCCTGGATTTTATCGCATGTGATGTCGACGGCGTCGCTGAACAAATCTTTGGCCCACGGCTCCTGGCGTTTGTTGTCCTTGCAGTGGCCCCCATAGGTCCTCAGCGGCCACGCGTGCGAAGAGCACCGCAGGAACGCGCAGTCGACCTCGGGGCCATTGAGCCAGCACTGCAGCCCTGGCGCATGCCACAGAACGGTGGCATCAAGACTTGCGCACGAAGATGATAGCGACATCCCTGGCGATTCCAACTTTTCAAAGCGGCTCTTCACCGCCGTGGTCCATGTCAGCGTCGCGAGAGCGCGATGAAATCATGGATGTCTGAGGCTTCGAACTCCCACGCTGTGCTACGCACGGGGCATAGGCGGCGCATGGTGCGCGCAGCGGTCGGATCGCAGCTGGCATGTGATCGCGATTGTCGCTTAACTGGCCCCGTCGAGTGACAGGCGAATCCGAACGCGCGCAGCGGCGCAACTCTACCTCGCGCTCCTGCTGAAGGTGCGCAACACCGCGAGCCAAATCCTTCATCGACCGCAATGTTTAAGTGTGTTGTTTTGTTTTTTGGGGGGCAAACTCTGTTTCTCTGCGCAGGCCCAAAACTCTGATGAAGGTATGATTCGTGTCTGCGCTGGAACTCTGATTCAAGTCTGGCCCTCAGCACCAACTCCGATTTAGGTCTCTGGTTCAACTCAGGCCCTAAGGCCCAAGTCTGATTCAGGTCTGATCGGGAACTCCTAAATAAGTATGATTATGGTTTGGTTTGGGCCGCCGAAGCCAATGTCGTGGCGTCGGCCCAAAACGCCGCTGGGGCGGCCCCGTGTGCGCGCGTCTTCGAGAACAACAGAAGGAATGCGTAAGCCAAGCGGCAGGTCATGGCTGGAGGACAATTCGCCAGCTGCCACATGCTGCGAATTGGGCCCGCCTGCGCACGCCGCCCTGCGGCAGCGCTAAGGCTAAGGCCTGCGCGGGGGGCGCGGGGCAGCGCCCCCCGCCTGCGCGGCCCTGCCCAAAACTGCTCAACGGCAGCTGGGGCGAAAAAAGGCTCACCCGAGGCGCTGCCGCGCCGCGAAAGGATGCGCATCGCGGTGACCGCCCCATTCCCCGCCGCCCGCCCAGGACAGGTCAGGGGCAGGCAGCGCAGAGGAGAAGCCCTGCACTGATTCGGAAGGTTCGGGGGCGCAGGGGGCGCCCTCGGAGGTGCCCAGAACGGAGGCGGGGACAAGGGGCAAGGGTACGAACGATCGCGAGAACGAAGGCGGAGGCGACGGCAGGAACTGGGGCGGGAACGGGGGCGGGGATGATGGGCGAAAACGACGGCGAAAACGACGGCGAGAATGAAAGCGGGAACGGGGGCGGGAATGAAGGCGAGAACGGAGGCGGGAACGAAGGCGGGGACGAAGGCGGGAACGAGGGCGATCGAAAACGAGAGAAAAAAAGAGGGCGGGAACGAGGGCGGGAGCGAGGGCGAGAACGTGGGCGAAAACGAGGGCGGGAACGACGGCGGGAGCGAGGGCGGGAGCGGAGGCGGGAACAAGGGCGAGAACCAGGGCGGGAGCGACGGCGGGAACGACGGCGGGGGCGACGGCGGGAGCGAAAGCGAAAACGAGGGAGGAAACGAGGGCGAGAACGACGGCGGGAACGAGGGCGGGAACGAGGGCGAGAACGAGAGCGGGAACGAAGGCGGGAACGAACGCGGGAACGAGGGCGGGAACGAGGGCGAGAACGAGGGCGAGAACGAAGGTTAAAACGAGGGCGGGAACGGGGGCGGGAACGAGGGGGGGAGCGAGGGCGGGAATGACAGCGGGGGGCCGCCTCTGAGCTCCTCCGGGATTCCTCCGGGCGCTCCGGGCGCCTCGGGAACTCCCCGGGCGCCTCTGGGGAACCTGGGAAACCTCCGAAGACCCTCCGGAGAACCTCCGGGGAACCTCCAGGAGGTCCGTTTGAAGTCTGTTTGGGGTATGTTTTGAAGTCTGTTTAATGTCTGTTTGAAATCTGCAAACTCTGATTATGGTCTGTTCGAAATCTGTTTAAGGTCTGTGAGAAGTCTGTTTGCAGTCTGGCCGGAACTTTGTTTCAAGTCTGATTTCCCCGGGCGGCCCTTGGGTTCCCCGGGCGGCCCCGGAACGAGGGCGAAAACGTGGGCGAGAATGAGGGCGGAAACGAAGGCGGGAACGAGGGCGAGCACGAAGGCGTCGGCGAAAAGGGGAACGATGGCGGGAACGAGGGCGAGAACCAGGGCGAGAAAGGGCGGGAACGAGGGCGGGAACGAGGGCGGGAGCGAGAGCGGGAACGAGGGCGAGAACGAAGGCGGGAGCGAGGGCGGGAACAAGGGCGAGAACCAGGGCGGGAGCGACGGCGGGAACGAGGGCGGGGGCGACGGCGAGAACGAAGGCGAAAACGCGGACGGGAACGAAGGTTAAGACGAGGGCGGGAAGGAGGGCGGGAACGACGGTGAGAGCAAGGACGGGATCGAAGGCGAAGGCGAGACAGAGGGCTGAAGTGACAATGGCCTCGGGCGGGGGCGAGGGCGGGCGCGGGGGCAAGGGCGGAGACGAGGGCGGGCGCGGGACCTGGATCCAGCGAGGGGGGGAGCGAGGGCGAGAAGGAGGGCCGGACGCTGAGGCCGAGGAGCGAAGACTGACGCTCGAAGCGGGGGAGGGGGGGGCGGGGGATGAGGACGAGGAGGAGGAACAAAAGGACGAAAGGGAGGAATGGGGGCCGAGAGCGGAGAAGGGACAGCACGTGGAGGGCGACGGCGACCGATGAAGGGGGAAACGGGACTAGGGAGGTCAAGGGGAGGGGAAGATGAGGAGGAGGAGGGAAGGTAGAGGATAAGGGAGGGGATAAGGGGAGGAGGGAAGAGAGAAAACTGAGGAGGAGGGGAGGGGGGAGGGGGGAAGAGGGACGCGAACGGGGGAGGAGAGACACGGAGGGAATTGAGGAAGGAAGGAGGGGATAGACGAGGTAGGATAGAAAGCGAGGGGAGGAGGGAGGATGGGCAAGGAGAGAGGAAACGGTAGAAGATGGGGGGAGGAGGCCTTCCCCTCTTTTCCCCATCCTGCAGCGAGGCCCTCCTTCGCTCGCAGAAAGACAAACGCACTTGCGCAGCGCGCCCCGCCCCCTCCACCCGGGACTGCCCGAACTCTGATGGTACTCTGGTTCAGCTCTGTTTTGGCTTTGGCCTGAAACTCTGATTCATCTCTGGTTTGGCTGACACTCTGATTTGGCTCTGGCCTGAAACTTTGATTCATCTCTCTGGTTTAGCTGACACTATGATTTAGCTCTGGTCTGGAAATCTGATTCAAATATGATTAAGCTCTGGCTGGGGATAGAGCCGAATCAGAATTAAATCAGAGCTCGGACCAGATTTCAATCAGAGCTTCAAAAAAACAAAGATGAAACAGAGTTCCGGGCCAGAGTTGAATCAGAGCTGAATCGGAATATTGTTAAAGCTGTTTGAGACTCGCTTTTGAAGCTAGTTTGCCTCCAAGATACACACTTCACCCAGTGCACCCTGGCCCTGTAGAGGCAGGAGGGGGCGTGGTCTTGGTCCTTCAATTGAGGCGACTGCATTCGACTGGAAGCTGAATCCTTCGTGCAAGAAGTACGATTCGGGTGGACCGTCTTCCGGGTGGTACCTGAACTGCGCCGGCCGCCGACCCCCCAGCATTTCTCTCGATCGCGAATGACTCCCCCCCTCAGAAAAAAGAACGCGCGTTTGCGATCTGCGTTCGTGGCCGAATGAGCCCCGCGGCACATCGAACTGCGCCCGCCAGCAGACGTCGCCCATGCGCGCGGGCCACGGAGCGCGCCCGCGCGCCGAGGGTGGCCGATGGACACTTGGGCGCCAGTCGCTGGAGCAGCGGGCGGCGCAATCGACGAAGTCGTCGACGACCTCGGTGGCGCGTGACCTCTGCGGTCGATGGCATCGCGACGGCGATCTTCAAGATCGATCTGCTTCCCGCGTCGCTCGCGCTCGGTCCGACGCCCGCGCCGGCGGAGCGCGCGAGCGACGAACCTCGCCGAAGACCCCGCTCCGACGAAATGGACGCACCGTCCTTCGCGCGGCCGCGCAGGGGAAGATTGGGGGGCTTCAGCTTCCCCGCGCCGCGGGTGCCGGATGCGGCAAGCACCTGCGAGCAGGCGGGCTACGGGCGAATCTTGATTCGGCCGTCCATCTCAAGGAAATGTGTGTCGAACCGCGCCAAGAACTCTCTCAGCTCCACGCTCGGCCCCTTGGCGCTTCGACCCCAACTCGCGTTGTCAGGTGCCGTCGGGGGGGCTCTGCCGCGGCCCGCCGCCCTGGCCGCGGCGCTGGCCCGTCGCGAGCGTCGCGTCGCGCCTGGCCGCGGGCTCCGGAAATGGAGGGCCCCGCGCAATGCCGAACTCCTCGCCCGAGACACTTGCTTGCCATTGACCCCGCTCTCGACGCGGCGGCCCGGCTCGGGGCGGCAGCCCTCGAGGCATCCACCCTGCGCTCGGGCCGCCGCGAAGCCAAAGATCTCCGCCTCGTCGGCTCGGAGGGGCGTCTGCGATCGTCGCGGAATCGAGGCGGTCTCCTCGCTGGCCTCGGGGGGGCCCTGGGGGCCCTGGGGGGGGGGGGGGGCGGCGGCGGCGGCGGCAGGCTCGCGCTATGCTGGAGTCAACTTGGCTTCGGGCACAGACGAGTTCCCCGATCGTTCCACGCGCGCGCAATCCTGCGCGCGATCGAGAGGTCTAGAGCACACCCCAGCGCAACCGCCCCCCTCGCTCAAACAAATGCCCCGCGACGCAGGGCGGCGGGCGCGGAGGAAAGGAAAGAAAAGAGGCGTCGACCGACGCATGGCGGATGGCATAGCAACCGACGCGGCGGGCGCGAATTGCGGTTCTGCGTCGCCCATGCTCGTCATGCGATCGCATGGGAAGCTTCGATCGCAGTTCGGGGGTGCCCCTGCCACTCGGAGCCCCCGAAACCAGTGGGCCATCTCTTTACCGGTTGTGCACCTTGATAGCGCCTTGATCTCCTGGAAATGGCGCTCGCGGTCGCCCTGGGGCGGCGCGTCTTTCTGCCCCCCCTTGTCGCGTTAGGCCCGCCAGGGAGGTGAAACGTCGACGCGCGTTCTCGCCGCTGCCTTTTCCTCCGTCCTTGCCGCCTAGACTGGCGGCCAGGTTGTCTTGGATAGCTTCCCTGATACCCTTTTTCTGAATGACCGGCCTTGGTCATCTCGTCGACCATCTCGAGATCGAGATGGCCCTCCTCAGCTCCCCCCATGCGCTGGCGACCAATGAACGCGCGCATTTTCGCATTGCGCGCGTGGGGCGGAAGCGTCGGCCAGGCCCTCGCCTGCCCGGGCGGCGTCGCCCCGGCCGTGCTCGGGCGCGCGCGCGGGCGCATAATGCCCGTGTGGATTCAGCTCCTCCCTGTGGAACTCCTATGGCTCACCGTAGTCGGCGGCGTAGGAGACGCGGTGCCTCGCCCCGTGTTCGCCCCTGCTCCTGCTAGGGTGGCTGGGCCCACGGTTCAAACGCGACGTGGCGGAGCCCTCGCCCGCGCGATCTCCCTTGGCATCTTGGCGGATGTAGGCGCGCCCTCGCGGGGGGTCCGAAAACTTCTGATTATGTCGGGTGACTTTTGGTTGTTTCTGGATGTCAAACCATCGAGTTCCCGGAGGAGAGGCCAGCGTGGTCCGAGAGAAGCGATCCGAGCATGTCGCCAGTCATGACACGATGCGGGCCCAGCTTTGCAGAGAGTTTCCACTGGCGTTTTCGTTGTGAGATGTACAAGACCATTGATTCGCCTATCTGTCGTGACGTTGGCACGCAACGTCGCTGCCCGATCTGGAATAGGCCTTTGACTTCTTGGGCTTCTACAGGAAAGAGTGATGAGCAAATCGTGGCTATCAGCTGGCCAATGCCAGTCTCGGTGCTATCGTAGATGTAGGAGCCACTCTTCGTCTCCGGACGTGTCGACGTGTCAGCGTTAGCCTGATAGCGAAGAGAAGAAAGTGCCATGGCGTGCGGATCAATCTCCACCGTGAGGGTGGCTACTCCCGTTGGAAGTGGGAGGGGCGCTCTCTTTGAACGAGATGATCTGCACAGTGGCAGCAATGCGGGATCGTGTCGCAGCTCCGCTGCCCGTGTGTTTTTGGTCTGTATCCGGCCATTGGCACAAGGGGCCACTAGCAGCCAAAACGCGCGCTGCCTGAGGTTGTCGCTTACGCCTGCCTAACAGCGGGCGGCGGCAATAAAGGGCTATGAAACAGCGCGCGCGCACACGGCTTCTCAATGTGGGACGCGCGCGTGCTTCGTAGAGCCAGCCAAAATAAATCAATGGTTCGATCAACAGATGGCCATCCTTGCGTTCTACATGCTCGTTGAGAACGACGCTTCTCGACCTGTTCCGTTCCGAAATTGAGGCATGCCATCTGTGAGCCACTTCTGGCCCTATCGAGCAAGCTTGGTCCACACCCGTGCCAAGGTGCGTACTGCTTGACCGCGAACAATTCGACGGGGGCATACAGATGGGTGACACACTGGATAGTACTCCCCCAATCATGCCACACACCATATTTGGAGATATCCGGATACTTGCCGCGGAACCAGAAGATGGCTGCATATTTGCCCGCGTTGCTGTGTAATCTGATGCCCCCGAACCCCAAATCGTCGAATATGATACTGGCAGCAAATACGAGCCCCTGACAAGCTCCTCCGGACGACCAACAAACGTGAACATGGCAACATCAACAATAACTAGGTTCATGGAATGAACCGTGGTAAACGCCAGCTGGTTTATCTTCGGCAACTGGCAGGCGGAGTGATCCATCCTCGGTAACTGGCAGGCGGAGGTCCACTCCAAGCGAATGTAAAGCCTCTTGGACCTCCTTGGTGGCAAAGCGTCATCACAAACATTGCGGATAAGGTCGCCTACCTGTCGAACTGGTCCGGAACCCACCTGAAGGAACGCCATGCCGCTACCCCCTGGGACCAGGAACCGCCTGGATTGATACGAATCGGCAACTTGAGCCTGGAGCTGCCTAGGGATGCTGTGGGAGCGGGGCCTTTTGATGAAGTTCTCGAGCTCATCCATGGTTTCTGGAAGTAGCCCAGTTTGGTGGAAAGTGCAGGCGACAGCCTCATCGGAAGCCCCTGTCTCGAAAGCTGATTCTCCCACAGCCTTGTAGAGAGCCTGGGCAACGTCGGTGGGAGGAAATACAAGCGAACGACCAGTAGCGCTGCCCAGCTGCTGAAGCAGACGGGCTTCTGGTGCAGCGAAATCCGTGCCTCCTCAACGGAGGAGGGAAGGGAAGGAGGGAGGAGGAGGTGGAGGAGGAGGAGGAGGAGGAGGAAGAGACGGAGGAGGAGGAGGAGAAGGAGGAAGGAGGGAGAAGGGAGGAGGAAGGAGGGAGAGGAAAAAGGAGGAGGAGGAGGAGGAGGAACAAGGGAATTGCGGGCTCGGCGCTCCGCGGCAGCGCCCCTCCCCGAGAGCCCCGCCGCACGGGCGACGCCGCCTGCAGCAGCGTCAGCTCCACGTCCGTGGCGGGCAGGGGCTTCGCGCCCGGCTCCCCGGTCGTCCAGCTCATGAAGAGCCTCGGAGGGCGCTGCTCACGGAGGGCCTCCTCCGACGGCTGCTGCCTGCTCCGACAGCTCCGACAGCTGCTGTTGCCGCTGCTCCTTCTACGCTGGCCACGCATGAGCATCGAGGCTGTTGCGTTCTTCTGGTGACTCAAATCAAGAGGACCATGTTCCGACTGAGCAAAGCGCGACACACATCAGGCTCACGGCACGTGCAGAACAGGAGCTGCTGCTCCTGCCCGTCCCCTTCCTCCTCATCCCCTTCATTCCTTCGCCTCCTCCATCTCCTCCCTGGCTCTTGGGCCCAGTGTTTGATGACGGTCGAGTTTTGCTCGTTTCCGAGCTTGTCCGATTGGTGAATAATACAGAGCATCCTGCTCTTCCTCCGAACTCCTGCGTTTCCTCCCCCCCAAAAAAAGTTGGCGGCTCGAGGCAACACATGGCCCTTTCGGCTTCTGGTCGCCACCAACGAGCTGTCCTCTGTGCCTCCGGGTAGCTTGCGGGACTTTGTCCGGGCGCTTGCTCCACGTTGGGGCGATCGCTCGAGCAACGAGTGAAGGGAAGGAAATGTCACAAGGTGAAAAATCAGGCTGCACTGACATTTGTAACTCTGCAGAGGCCGTGCACCACTCGTGTCTGAAACTGGCGTGCTTCAAGCCGTCGCTGATGCTGGATTTTCTGTCGCCATGGAGGAGCTCGGGTCGTGGAGGAGGGGGGCAGGCGCGGGTCGGCATCCTGAGCAAGTGCTCGAGCAGAGTGGGGCTGTTCAGTGAACGCCCAGGCCTACTGAGCACCCGCCAACTGAATCATGGGGTCAGGGCTTTGTTGTATGTTTGGCTTCCTGCCAACTATTTCTTTTTCTGTCTGTATATATATAAAGACAGAGAGAGAGAGAGAGAAAGAGAATGAGAGATAGAGAGAGAGAGAACAAAAAAAGAGAGACAGGAATTAAGAAAGAGAGAGAGAGAGGCAGGGTTTATCCAGGCCGATGTCCACCGAGGGCCATAGGGGGCAAGGGATCCTGCCAGCTTTGCAGCATCAGTCAGCGTCGAATCGGGGACTCGGGCGGAATCGGAACGCGCGTCGAATGAAAAAGCAAACGGGGTCGGAATTTGATCGGATCAGCCGCGCCAAGATGCGCAACGACGACGTGCGAACATCGGGCTGCTCTTCTGAACCGAGGTGGACCGGGCCGGCCGGAGTCGAACGCGAATCGGAATGGCTCCTGAAGGGGTCCTGACCGTTTCTCGCCGTTTTACGGGCCCTCCGGAGCCCTCCACGGGCCCCAGCACCCTTACAGAACTGCGCAGGATGAGGAGCAGTCCAGGGTAAGCAGCCCCGAAGTCTAGGCTCCGTCTCTCCCTCAGGACCCCTTCCCTTCGTGGCGAGCTCGTCCCCCCCCCCCAACTCCCGACGCCCGACTGCAGCCCGGCGATCGGGCGACTTGCGGCCGGCGGCGCTGGACTCGGTGCCGGGGTCGACCGCCGAGGCACCCCTGGGCGGCCGGCCTGTGTGGGTCCAGCTCCCTCCGCCGGCGCTCCTCCCCGCGCGCGCCGCTCGCGAGGCGGGGCCGCGAGGCAGCGCCGGTACGAGGGCACGGGGTGGCCATCGTGCGGCACGCTCGCGTCGTACAGTCGGGGCGTTGACCTAAGGAACTTTAAATAAGGAACAAGGCCCCTCTTTTCCATAAGTTGAACTTCGATTTCCCATGCAAAAACCTAAAGGAAACCCGAGGCAAACTGTAAAACCATCAAGGAACACCGAGCCCCTCCCCAACGAAAAGCGTTCCTTCTTCAAGGCCCCGACTGTAACGACGTTGGCCTTGGCTTTTGCCACCGCGTGGCTCGCTCAACCTTGAGAGCAGCGACTCGCGGCTCCCCGATAGGGCGGATCGTTCGATCGCGGCCCATTCTGGACCGCTGGTGGCGTTCAACCTGGAACGCCAGCGGTGGGGCCGCAGCCGCGTCGACGCGGCGCCAACCTGCCGTACTCGCGACGAGAAGACACACGGAAGAAAACCTGATCGGACAAGAACGGGAAGCGTCGACGTTGTCCATTGGGCTCGCGGCTAGGAAAAATACAGAAGGATGATGGCGATGACAAGGCAGCGGATGACGGGGATTACACCGTGAAAGACGGGGTGGGCAGCGGGAAAGCAAGAGGACCTCGAGGAGGAAGAGAAGCACAAGGACGAGGAGGAAGAGATGGAGAAGAACGAGCACGAGGAGGAATAAAGCGGAGGAGGAGGAGGAGGAGGAGGAGGAGGAGGAGGACAACGACGGACGAGGAAAACGACGTCGAAGAAGAGGGGGGGTCCTCGCGAGCTTTTGAGGCTACCCTTGAGGCCTGCTGGGGCGATCTGTGGCTCTCTTGGGGCACCCGGGGGGCCTCTTGTGAGGCCGTCTTGGCGCCATCTTGGGCTGTCTTTTTTTTGGGGGGGAGAGCACCCGCGCCGTGCGCGGCGACCAGCACGCAGCCTGCGGGCTGAGCTGCTCGGCCCGTTCGTTCTCCTCCCCGAGCACGGGGCGCGTCCATCCTGCCGCTCGCGGCTCGCAGTAGCGGCATCAAGACAGCAGGCGCCGAATTGCCAAATATACGCTCAAGATTGCCACCATGTTGACCGCCACAATGTTGAAGGCCAGATTGCGAGTGAAGAAGACACCAAACTCACGGCAACCCCTGCCGACTGAGAAGACGGCGCCTGTGAAGAAACGACCGCTTGCGAATACCAGGCCAGTGACTAGGCGACCGATGGAAGCACCAAACTCAAGGAATGGGCCAGAGAAAAAATCACCAATGTGAGCACCAAACTCAAGGAATGGGCCAGTGAAGAAGCCGGCGATCTGGGCAAAGACCTGCGCCTGCACCCTCTCCGCCGAAGCCGTGGCCCGCCGGATCTGAGCACCGACCTGCGCCAGCACGACTTCCACGGACTTCAACACCACGTTCGGCCGACTCGAGCTGCGACCCGAGCCGGCGAGGCAGGGGCCGCCCGCTCGACGTGTGCCTCGGTGCCCTGCGCCTGCCGCACACAGCCACGCCGCGGAGAGGGCCACCACCGCCGCCGCGGCGCGGCGGCGCGCGGCGCGGCGCCGCGCCATCCCGGGGCCGCCGGGCGGCTCGGGGGCCACCGGGTCGGGCCAAAGTGGCTTGGAGCCAGAATGGCTACGGGCGCCATCCTGGGCTGTCCTGGGGCCCTCTTCCGCTCCCTTCCTGTCCCCTCTCCTTGCCCCCGTCCCACCCCCCCTCGCTTCGCCGGTCTCCTCCGCTGCACCCCCCAGTCCTCCGCCCCCCCCTCCCCAGTGCTCCGTCCCCCCTCCCCGCCCCAACTCTCCCCCATCCCCCTCCCTCATCCTCCACCCCCATCCCCCCCCTGGGGCCATCTGGGAGCCTCCGGGGGCGCTCTCAAGGAGAGCATCTTGGGGCCCGCTTTTGGGTTCTCTGGGGGGCCTTTTGGGGGCTCTTCGAGGCCATTCTGAACTCCTCAAGGGGCGATTCCTGGACGACATTGGTTCAAATCCCACTCCAGAGCTGAATTTTGGAGGACGTCCCAAGCAAAGACACCATGTTCAAGAAACAGTTCTTGACAAGCACGGGATACGCGTGATATTGAAGAGAAGGTCCAAGAGCGTGCAACAACATCAAGAAAACATATCATCTAGGCCAGCTTCCCGAATGATCACAGAGGACAGCTATGGACACACGGTCACCGAACGACCACCAAAGAACAACCCGAGGCGAGCTGGTCAACTATTTTCGCTTTCGTAAGCCCCTGGGGTGTCAAGTACGGTCTCAGTGGGATTACACTCACATGGCAATCTCACATAATTCGAGGCGAACTGCGCAACGATCCCCACTTTCGTGCCCTCCGTGTGAATTGCGCACGTTAAGCGTGCAATCTGAAACATTGCACGCCAAACAAATCAATATAGAGGGTAGAGGGGTGCACGTAAACGGTACAACACAGAGGGCTGCACGTAAACGGCACAATATAAAACAACTGCACGTAAACAACGTCATATACAAGGGCTTCGCGTAAACGGTGCAACACGGACGTCCGCACGTCAACGACACAATATAGACAAGCAACACACGACCACCTTCATCACCACCTTCACCATCACCATAATCATCATTATCATCGGCATCGTCGTCGTCGGCGTCTTCATCATCATCATCATCATCATCATCATCATCATCATAATCATCATCATCATCATCATCATCATCATCATCACCGTCCGAAGATACTTTTGAGGAGGTCTTCAGCGAAACGCATGTTGTGTGAGACTTCCACCAAAAAGCGGCGCGCTGGACAATTGAAAACACAATGGTGTTTAAGTGAGCCCTTCTTTTCGGTCGAAGGCCCGCCCGAAGGCAGTGTTCGAGGATGTCTCAGGCGAAACGCGCACTTTTGACAACATCACTGATTTGTTCAATAGTTTCGCTGTTTGGATAGTCTTGGATCTCTTCCCCCAGCCCAGGGGTCTCGGAGACGGCCCCAAGAGGGGTCCCCAGAAGAGCGCCAACGTCGTGCCGCCTGAAGACGCCCACCATGACAGGATTCCAAGATATCCGAGGGGGAAGACCCTCGCCGTTGCCGACTGCAGGGGCCAGGTGCGGCGTGCGCTGCACGTCGTCACGTCGTGGAATACGAGTGCCCACGTCGCCGGTCTTTCCAGTGCGCTGGGCGGCAAAGGAAGCAACACCTTGAGCTGCCCAGCTTGAGCTAACCACGCTCGGGACAGCAGCTTGACACAGCGTTGGGCTTGACGAGAGCAAGAACAAGCAAGCAACAATCTCGAACCGTGGCAGGGTGCCGAGATAGTCGCCCGCGTACCAGCAGGAGACGAACAGCGTCGCCATGCAACAATTGCTTCGCTCGAGACGCACGGCTTCTCTCCTGTGAGCACCTCCCCATCGGGCTGGCAAATCGCGCTCCTTCCTGGAGGAAGCGGGTGCAATGGCAAGCCTTCATGGGGATTTCAATGTGAAAGTGAGTGGACGAATGCCCATGTCCTGCGATCTCCTGGCGTTAAGAATAGCGGGCACTGATGGAAACGGGTCCTGGACCCCAAGGTCTTCACCCGGGACCAATTCTTTATCCTGACTCCCAACAGCTCTTCTGAGCCTAAGTGGTTTGGGGAGTTTCCTCTTACATTCCCCATCTTTCCCTTCGGGGAGGATTTGTCACTGTTCCTTGTTATTGTGCTTCCCCTCCCCAGGCTGACCCACGACAAAACCCGGGACCATGCACGACCCCCCTCCCCGCCATCCTTGTAAAAACGATGCAAAATTCACATTGCACATTACGGCATCATCTGGACTGTGCGCAGGCGCCCCGGGAGCACTTTGCAATGGCTTTTGAAAAGGGACGGCGGGAGGCGCCCATATCCCCCGTCTGTCCAGGGCGACCATCCCTGTCAAAACAATGCAAACACACACTCTGCGGCAAAATCTGCACCGTGCGCGGGCGCCCCATAGGTTGCTTTAGTAGTTTTGCAGGGGCGGCCGCGGTGCCCTCGAAGTGTCCGCAGTGCGCAGACCCACCATCCCTGTCAACACACGATGCAAAATACAAGGTGTGGCGAAAGCTGGTTCATGCGCGGGCGCCCCGCGATCATGTTGCATCCGTTTTTAGTAGAGGGAGCGGCGGGAGGGGCCCTCATATTGACTACTCTTCCAGGTTCACGATCCCTGACCAAAAACTAATGCAAAGGGCAATGTCTGGCAAGATATGGATCATGCGCGGACGCCCCGCGACCACTTTGCACTGGATTCTGATAGGGACAGCGGGGGTGCCTTCATGCCGTCTGCCCATGAGCTCAGTGGGATCGGGGCCCCAGGCTCGGATGCTGCCTAGATGTCGAGAGGGCGGGCGGGGGTGGTGAGGGGCACGGCTTGCGGCTTGGGGTAGCTTTGCCGCTGCTCCTGATTCATACGCACCCCCTCCCCCACCCGACCTGCGACAAACCCGGGACCATGAGGGCCCCCCTCCGCCATCCCTGTCAACAAGTGATGCCACATGCACTTTGCGGCACTTTGGAGGCCCGCGAGCACGTTGTATTGTTCCCAACATCTGAAATCAGTTGTTGCTCCCCACATCCTGGGTAGGGATATTGTTTCTCTGGACGCCCCCGCGCAGGAACCCGTCACCCCCTCACATCATCATCATCATCATCATCATCATCATCATCATCATCATCATCATCATCAGCAGCAGCAGCAGCAGCAGCATCATCATCACCATCATCATCATGATCATCATCATCATCATCACCATCGTCATCATCATCGTCATCGTCGTCATCATCAACATCGTCATCGTCATCATCATCATGATCATCAGCATCATCATAATCATCATCATCACCAGCGTCATCATCGTCATCGTCATCATCACCATCAGCAGCATCATCAGCATCATCATCATCATCATCGTCATCATCATCATCGTCATCATCATCGACATCGTCATCATCATCATCATCGTCATCGTCATCATCATCATGATCATCAGCATCATTATCATCATCAGCATCTGCACCAGCATCAGCATTATCAACATCAACATCGCCATCGTCGTTATCATGACCACCATCATCATCATCATCATCATCATCATCATCATCATCATCATCATCATCATCATGATCATCATCATCATATGCGGCATCATCATCAACATCATCATCACCATCGTCATGCCCCTCAGCGCCCACCTCGGATTCCCTTAATCCCCACCATCACAACCATCATTAGCGCCGTCATCATCGTCATCATCATCACACCAAGACCATCGGACATCATCAGAATCATCATCATCAGCATCAGCACGCTTCTGAGCACACATCTCAGTTCTCCTGTACCACCACCATGGCCATCATACTGGGCATCGCCATCATAGTCATCGTCTTCACGCCATGACCATCGGTCACAAACATCATCATCAGCAGTATCATCAGCATCATTATCATCACCATCACCGCAACGCTCATCCAGACTCACTCACGCAGGGCGGGTGCCTCCGGTGAGTGAAGACAGTGATGATGCTGATGATGGTGATGAGGCTGATGATGTTGAGAATGATGATGAGGAGGATGATGATGGTGATGGGGATTGGGATGGTGATGTTGTTGAGAATGTTGATGAGGAGGATGATGATGGTGATGGTGATGGTGATGGTGATGATGAGAACCAGAACAACGATACTAATCATGATAATACGACGAATAGGATGATAATGGTAACACTGGTAATCACAATATTAATACACCTAATAAGAAAAAGTTCATGCGAATGAGCTCTCGAGCGGGGGCCTCGTCTGTGGATGAGGCGAGGAGGTCTCGAGCGGGAGCCCCGCCCTATGGGGTCACCACCGCCATGTTCGAATCCGAGTGGTTTTCGCAAACCTGTAGCTGTCGTCAATTCTGGGTTCCTCAGGCCTGCGTTTGGAGGAATCCTCCAGCGGGAGCCTCGTCAGTGAGAGAATCGCGACAAGGTCTCGAGCGGGAGCCCCTCTCTATGGGGTCGCCACCTCAATGTCCGAATCCGCCTGAATTTCGGATATCTTTTGCCTGTCATCAGCCTTAGGCGCTTCAAGCTTGAGTGTGGAGGGAGTCTCGAGCGTGAGCCTCGCCTGTGAGAGAATCCGCGAGGAAGTCTCGAGCGGAAACCCCTCCCTATGGTGTTCACACCGCACGTTCGAAGCCGAGCGGCCGCGAGGAAGTCTCGAGCGGAAGCCCCCTCCCTGTGGGGCCCACACTTCGTCTTCGATCCGAGCGGGCCATCCAAATCGTATAACTGTCGTCACAGTTGGGCTCCGCAGGCCTGCGTTGGGAGAACGTCTCGAGCCAGAGCGTCGTCTGCGAGTAAATCGCGAGGAAGTGCCGAGCGGGAGCCACTCACTATGGGGTCACCACCTCCATGTTCGAATCCGAGCGGTCGCGTAGAGTCGTGAGCGGGACCTCCCCCCCTATGGGGCCCGCGCTTCTTGTCCTAAGGCGCGCGGTTTGCGGAAAACCTGTAACTGTCGTCACTGTTGGGCTCCGCAGGCCTGGTTATGGAGGAAGTCCGGTCGGGGACGCCTCGAGCGGGGAGCCGCTCCGCGTGCGCTCCCCACCTCCACGCTGGAAGCCGAGAGGGTCATCAGCAGACCTG